ATAATTGTTTTTTTTCTAGAAATGTTTCAACCTTCATACTAAGGATTTTAATCTACACTCAAAAATTCTGAGAAATAATAAATTTATGTAAGCAAAATATGAATAGTCACAGGAAATATGTCTCTTTCCCACAATTGCAAGACCTGATCTCAAACATTGTGGCATTTAAAATGTATTTGTTCTCTCAAATGAACCTAAACAACCCAAAAACTTAACTGGATTAATCTTCAAAACCCTAACCCTCTTTGAAAAACAACCCTGTCCTTATGAGACACCCAGCCTCGTTTTTTGCAATTTATGTGGCCATTTTAACTCTGAGTCCCACTAAAAGTTTTAGCTCCTTCTTGGGATCAAGCCAAACATTTTGATCCCACTTTTGTGGGGGTGCATGCAGCGGTTCGGGCCACAGTAACAGTAATGGAAGAAAAAGAAATAAATAATAAAGAGACCACTTATTGGGTGTAGAACAGTAGGTTCCTGCCATACATTGCATAGGCAGGCCCCAATAATGTATGTAGAAATTATTTTATTGATAAAAATAAAAACATGAATTGCTCTTGAGGTCCCCTGGTGGCCGCCATAGGTACTGCACACTCCGTCGGTACCATGAGCTGCAATGAGCATCCAAACGTCCAAAGCTCCGGTCAGAAGCTAAGTTAGCAAAACAATGTCTCAGAAAAGGACTTATCCTTCAGGCAGGGAGAAAAGGAAGAGGAAGAACAGAAAAAACCCAAGATACAGGTTCGTTTTAATCTGCCTAGGTAATGTAATGTAAAGATTAGTAAAGCTGCTAACAGAAAATTAGCTTGATAGCGACCTGGACCGGTGTTATAGATCAACTGGTGGCTAAATCAACTGGTGGTGGCAGCTGGAAAAGACTGATGTTTCTGTGGGCGTGGCTTTTTAGGACCCCTTTACCGAACCAGGAAGTAAACAATGCAATAAGCTTAAAGAACTACAAATCTTTGCAAAAATACTATCCGATTCCGTAAAACAACCACTAAGATCTCGGGAATAACTAATTAGAAAGACTTGGTCTAATATGGTATGTTGCCTTTTTTAAAAAGTTCATCTGCAAAACCATCAAAACGTGTAAATTACGCAGAACTTGTCCTGACTTATGTGTTGCTTCAGAGGTTGAAACTCGTCAAAGGAAGATCGAAATAGATCTCGATGTGGCATGAGCAGATCTCAAAGCAAAGATTATTCCCTGAAAGCCGACATAAATGTTGAAGAGCCTTGGGATTAAAAATGAAATGTTTAAACAGATCGACTGGCTGTGTAATTTTTCCACATATTCCTCATATTGTGATATTTCAAATAGGTATCCACAGAAACTATAGCGAAATCTTTTTAACTGTTTCTGTAATGTTACACTTTATTTCCTAGCTCATTTACAGAAGACATGGCTACCGCAGATCTACGTGGCAGTGTAATTTCTTCCTTGTTATTTTTTCTCGTCTTTATTCTTTTCATCAAGTGGCCGTAATTCTCAACCATATGAGACATCGCTGAAAAAAACAACTGTCTTATATACTTTTACATCAGAAACAGGTTAAAATCTTCACTCAAACTGAGATTCTGAAAGTGCCACCAATTAATCCAGGCCTGGTTCTGGTTCTTAAAGCGCGGGGTGTCCGTTAGATGACAATCAATGATGGGTAGGAACATCGGACTTTCAGCTATCGTCATAGCTTGGTGGTTAAAACGACGCTCTTGGAACTCAGCGACCGCTGGTACGAGTTTAGCTAGCAGCGCCATCGTCTGTTTCCCTTTTTGGACCAGTTTATTTTATTGTCTACAAAAATAAATAATATAATTCACTTGCTGCCAACATATTGGAGGTAGTGTTGTTTAACAGGTTTGCCCGACAAACTTTAACTGTAAGAATATTGTCAGATTACGAAGTTGCACAGCTTTGCTTCTGCAGCCGAGTGAAGTCTTAAAGTGAAAACGAAATAATGTGGCTTCCATTAAATGAACAATGAATTAGTTTGCATGATATTATAACTGTTTAAATTTATTGATATGTTTGCAGAGCATGTCAGTCAACATAAGACTGAAAAGACGTAAAATGATCGTCATTACTCTAACAATGTAGGATGGTAGTACAAATTCTGTTTAGTACAGTCTTCTTTGAAGTGGGGTATATGTTAGTGACATTTTAATGTATTCTTCAATGTTCCTTCATATTATTATGTTTTGAAGAGCTCTTCGAGAAAGTAGAGACATTTTCATATCTGTTNATTTNCGTTTGTCGCGTTTTGATCAGGAAACGACAAAGCCACCTAATTTTTTTACAAACATCTGCGTTGAGGACCCCGTTTGGCTGTCACTAGTTAATCTTAATGCTGCTCGTTCTGTTTTTAATTTGATTTCCCTTCGTCAACAGCCTGAAAACTGTTTCCAAGTAGAGAACACACGGACAAATACTGTAGACTTGGCTCATAGTCTGTTGGTGGTATATGACAGTAATGTAGGAACGTTTATTATAATTTCGGCTTGTCAGTTTGGATATCACCACCAACAACATTAGCTGTTAACTTTATATCATTTAGATGAGATTTTATTACAGTACAACTTATCGACATTACTTGATTTTCCTTTCTATTTGGACACGTAAACACCACAAGCAACACCATCAGGTATGTGAGTTAAATTGTATTAAGTATGATGATAACCACCTCATTGTTTAGCGACACTTATTGTAGGTAGTAAGTGTCTCTAAACAATATGACACTATTTACCTTTTGCTTGTATGTAATGTAAGAAACTCACATAACAGGTACTTGAGAGTCAATTCCAATGTTTTTCTGATCAGTGCTGGTTATAAAAAGCAGAAACTATCCACTTAGGTTTACATTGCGGCTATTCATGAGTTAGAATTAATGTATTCTGGTGAACTTGAAAGTGAATGGGATTGTGTTATTCATTGATCTGGTTATGCTCAAATGCGGTGTTTTCGAAGCGCAGTGAATGCTGTTCTTTAGAAAATTGTTTTGAAACAATTTTCACATGCAACATTAAACATATAAGCGTCCAATGGGATTTATAGTAAAGTTTTGCAAACGTTTTTTTTTTCACGCAAGTAGCATTTTTCAACAGGCATCGACACAGCCACCTACAATTTGGAAACATCTGCGGTGCGCATAGGTTTCAATCAGTTGTTAGCCACCAGTTGATCCATAACACCGGTCCAGTTCAGCAGCCAGACATTTATGCTAGGCTCTCTGTGTGAAACTGAGTTTAAACTTTAAATGAGTTGATTCTCATGGTGGCTCTGTATATTTCTGAGGTATTTTTGGCTTCAAAACGCCGAGTTTGATAAGGTTTGATAATAATTAAAACTTCTCAGTGTCTGACATCGTCTAGCTAAATGTTTCTACGTCAGGCTACATGGATGAGCTGCTCTGTGCTGTAGCTGGGATTTGCTGTTTGCTGCTGATCAGAAGCATTTTGTGCTAAAACAAACATTATTTTTCTAAGTTAAGTGAAACTTCTGTTAACATCTGAAGGCTCAGAATCAGTCCAGTACCGGTACCGGTCCAGATTCTCAAGGGAGAAAGACTCACCTGGTATAAATTACATTTTTAGCTATTGGAGTTATGCTTTAGAAAAATTAATCAGAGAATGTCATGAATGTGTGTAGAGCTGCACCGATTGCAGTTTTCTGCCCGATCCCTGGTTACCGATCTTTAAAAAGCCTGAGCTGCTGATTTTGGTTTTGGCTGATTTTAAGTTTTTTGTCTGAAATGTTGCTAAATGTAGCAAGAAAGTCACTGAGTTTCCACAGTGGGTGAATATTGTTAACTGTAAAGGTTCAGACCTGTTGGTCTGCCAGTCAAACCTCTCACTGCAGAGCAGAAGAGGACAGAGGCTGAGTTATAAACCTTTGCTGATAAAGATGAGATCAGGGGATAAGATCAGCTTCACCTGTAAGTATCAGCCAATCACGATCCCACAAAATTAAGGAAATCGGCGCCCAGAAATGAATTGGTGGATAAATCAGGTGGCCAATAAATGTGTCCTATATTATACATGGTTATAATGTAAACAGCCAGAGATGCAGTAAGTTTATAGCAGGTGTGTGAATCCCCTGATGATCGGACTGCTGACTGCAGCCGGTCCACATTGTTAGCAGAACTAGAGGGCCCCAAAACCACATTTCGCTTAGGGCCCCATGGAGGCTTGGGCCGGCCCTGGTCGGAACTGCAAGTGTCTTCTTGAAACAAGAGAAGAAGTCCAGTCTTCTTCTACTGAAGCATTTGTGGCTAAGCTAGCTGCTGTCCCAGTGAATAGCAGCTAGCCTCAAATAGCTTCTGTTAGCTCTTTAGCGCCGCCTGTGAATTAAGGTGGAGGGTTAGCGCTCTCCAGATATTCTCAGGTAGCAGCTTTATTGGTACATGGCCACTGATGGTTTGATAGTGATGCATTTAATGTTTTCACAATGTTTTAACAGTTGCTAGCTGCTAGATAGCATCATAAAGCTAGCATGGATAAAAGCTATCATGCCACCTAGTTAGATGGTTTTAGATCAGTGTTTCTCCACCCTGGTCCTCAGCCCCCTGCTCTGCATGTTTTTGATGAGCCTCTATTCCAGAACAGCTGAGAAAAATGATTGCAGGACCATCAGGTGCTGCAGATCCTGTTAATCACCCAGAGATACAAACCAGGTGGCAGAAGGGAAACGCCTAAAACATGCAGGACAGGAGGGCTGAGGACCAGGGTGGAGAAACACTGTTTTAGCTGATGTAAGTATGCTGCTGCTTGTTACGTGGAGCTTTCTAGAATTCAAACAATAAACATCTAAAGGTTGAGACTTGAATTAGGCCGTTTGGTGGAGTCCTTTAAGCTACGTGTTTCATGGATTGGCCAATGCCGGCTCCTTTTTGTCCAGTTGTCCTGTGACGTGAAGCTGGACCCCCGACCCGAATACCACCGCTGCATCCTGACATGGCACCACCAGGAGCCGCTGCCCTGGGCCCAAAGCACAGGTCAGCTCATGCTTTAACCTTTGACCTTTGACAGGAAACGTACAGTTGGCTCCTAAAGTCTGCATACGCCTGGTACATCTGAAGCAAAATCTTTATTCAACCAAGAAGTTTGTTTCTGCAGCAGAATCAGGGCTGAAAATATTTAAATGTACATTTTGTTAAATCATGGCTGCTGGTACCGAGCCTGGTTCTAGTTCTGGTTCTGGTTCTGCTGGAGCTTTCTTCCTGCTAAAAAGCCTGAATCCTCCCAGAGAGCGGGGTGCTGATCCTGGCAGCAGATGCTTTAGTTCCAGCTGGTGACCTGTAGTGACCCAGACAGCCGTCAGAACCAGAACCAGGTCGGCGCTGACGCTGTTGTCCTACAGGGAACCAGGTATCCAGCCGCCTCATGTCCATGCGGAGTGCCAACGGGCTGCTGATGCTGCCGCCCAAGACCGAGCAGTACGTGGAGCTGCACAAGGGCGAGGTGGTGGACGTCATGGTGATCGGCCGGCTATGATGCAGGTGAGCTGTCTGTCGCCCCCTGCTGGCCTTGCAGGGCGTTGTCCCGCCTGTCGCCACCCGCTGGCCGGAGGACTAACAAGCCGTCTGCCGTGTTTCTCTTTTTCTCCTAGAGACCTTGTGTCACCTGCTACCGATCACCGTGGCAACGCCAGGAGACGTCTCACCCGGACAGGAAGGGCGGGGTTGGTGGGGCAGGAAGTGATGCATGTCTATCTGGTGGCCATTAGCTGTGATGTCATATGCAACAGCCAATCGGAGCCAGTGCAGGCTGAATCCTCTCTGAGGAACTCGCTGTACTTCAACAGAGAAAAAAATGTGAAAAAATATATAAAAGAAGATTTATTCTGTAATATTATTATCCTAGTAATTAATATTCTTAATTAATATTCTATTTATTATTATTGCCATGGTTCTGGTTGAATATTCTCACCTCAGTAGTCTTCATCTCCTCTTCATTTGCTTTGTGCGTTTTACCTGGCAGGTAAACACTAGAGACTCCTCCTCCTTCTCTTCTTTTGTTTCTGCTCCCTCCTTCATCGCTCGGCTCCTTCATCACATAGAAACCATTGTCCATGATGAAGAAGATGATGATGAGTGGGAACCGTCCACTTCCTGCTGGAGCTCCACAGTTTGCCACGAAATAAAAACATCAAGGCTGATGATGTTCAGAAACACCAAACAGTGGAAGCCGTGAGCAAAGCGGAACCGGTCCGGAACCGGGTTCCGGGTCCAGGCCAGGTCGCTATCAGAACCGGCCTGTTGGAGCAGCAGCTGCTCTCCGTCAAACATCTTCCTAGAGCTTGATGCCACAGGAAACGCTATGTATGGAAGAATATAGAGGCAAAAAAAAGCAGGACTAATAATCGATGAAGAGAAATAAAAGAAACCCGTATTTTTATTTCATTGCTTTCTGTCCGTTTGTCTAAATTTATTTATCTAATGTGTCTAATTTACTTACCGGATCCTTAGCTGCTTCTGCTCTTTATTTATGATTATAATATTTAAAACCATAAATTCTGTTAAAAAAGAAGGGAATCTAAACTGGTTCAGTTTTTACATGACTCCTCTAACTGATCTCTCAATTTACTTTTCCTGCCTGATCTTTTGGTCGTTTTTACAGAAGTGGAGTTTTCTGTGGCACCACTGGCTCTCCGTACACTTCTGACTTTACCTCAGCCAGTCAGCAGCTTCCAAACATCCAAAAGATTGGTTAAATCCAGAAAACGGGAAAGCTTTTCATTGTGACGTTTTATGATTGCCGTCCTGGCCACTAGCAACCCAACAGAACCGTAGAACTCTGCTGCTCCGGTTCATGACTACACTGTGCGTTTCTACCTAATGGTGCTTCGTCTAGAAAAACGAGTCAGAACCTTTTTAAGATTTGAAGAAACGCTCTGACTGCATCCTTCATAGTTCTCTGAAAAATTAAATATCATTTTATTAAGTTTGAATTTTTGACACTTAAGGTTTTCCATACAGAAATAATGGAAATAAAACAGAAAAATGCCTAAAGCATTAGAAAAAGTACCTCATTTAAAAACCAAGAACAAAGAATGTTTTTTTCTCTTGTTTTTGACATTTTTTCTTCATTATGTTTCATTATAAATATCTTTTATTTTTTGAATAAATGTCCTGAAATATTAGCAAATTCAACAATTCAAAAAAATTCTCCTTAAAATATTGAGATAATTTAAGCATCTTTTTTTGCTTCAAATTTCATGATTTTATTTTTGTGGCATCTCAGGTGTTCCATACAGAGCTTTGGAGAGTTTGATGCGGACTAAAATCATTTCCAGATTAGATGCAGATAAACAATAAAATCCCACATTCATTAAACCTTCCTCTCACTCTTCCCCTCAGTGCCAAACCCGGTCAAAGGTCAGCTGCTCTGCGCTGCATTCAGGGTCCCAGATTGTGGTCAGAGCCCTGCGGTGCGTTCAGGGCCCGTGTTGCGTTCAGGTTCCTGAGCTACTGTAGTTTTTTCTAAATTGTTTTTTTCTATCGTTCGTGGTTTCCTGAAATGTTCTGATAGATTCTGAGGATCTTTTGCCCTGCAAAATGTCTGACCTTTGACCCTTCCCTCTCATCATGGACCCTGCATGCCGTACGGAGGGGCGTTTCTTTCTAGATCGGCAGGTGCGGTTCCAGGTCCGGTGCAGCACCTGGGCAGTGTTCCCCATCATTTCTTATTCAGAAACTTCCCAGTTACCTCAAATGCACCGCAGTAATTTTTGCTGCTCGTGCCGCGTTCAAGTCACAGCAGACCGGAGGACGCCTCTTTCATTCTGGGAAGGTTATTTAAATTAAATGTCAATTAAAACGAAACACTTTCACTTTAGTTTTCCCACATTGGGCAGCTCATGGGTGTGAAAATTCCATGGTGACTTGGACGCAGCATCGGGGCCGGCCTGGCGCCTGCCTGAGGACCAATCAGGAAGCGGCAGCAGCGGTTGTTGTGAAACTGCCTTTGTACTGAAAGATTAGAAACACTGGAGTCAGTGTCTGCACACGATCAACATGACCAGCACTTCCTGAAGCAATGACAGCATTCTACTGTAAAATACTACAGGATGATTTTCTGTAACATTACTGAAACTGAATTAAAGATAATCCTGATTATTCTCTACTTGCTGAGCTTCCTTCATTTACAGAAACAACGATCCGCCATGTTGGATCCGAACAGACGGGAAGGAAACGGCCCAGAAACATCCAGGTTTCATGATTCTTTCCCCAAATTATAAGACCAGAGAGTCCCACTAGTTTAGGACCAGTTTAAACCCTTAAACCAGCGGTTCGGTCAGAGAACATGCTGGGGGAAAAAATCCAACACCACCTTTGATACGACCCGGTTCTGTTTGGACCCCCATATCTCCTGTCCATCAGAACCACCAAAACACTGGGATTATCAGTTTTTTGTTTTACTTCTTTTCATATTCTTTTTAAAAAAAATTAAAAATTCCCTTCTCATCCTCCGCGGGTGGTCTCTCTCTCTCCATCTCTCTCTCT